TGTGTGTGTGTGTGTGTGTGTGTGTATGAAACATGTTTCCAACAGAGAGAATCACTTGGTCCTACCATATATTTCTACTATCTCCATACCTGTCTAGTTTTCTGTGGTTAAAATTTTCTAGGGAACAAAGTCTCTTGGTCCCTTCCACGCTGTGAAATTCAGCATGGTTTGTAGTCACTGGGGAATAAACATGAGCCAGGCTGTCCTACTAGTGTATGTACTTCCCAGGCAGCACTGACTATTCGAAGAGTCATATATAGGACACTGGGGCAGACAGCAGGAAATATGGCTTGCTATCTTTCTGTTTATGTTGCTAAATTCAAAGAATGACAATATTGAACAGTTAGTAGAAACATTATTAACTAAAATGCCTGTCTGAAAATTATAAAGCAACCAAGTACCTGTGGAAACCAAAGTTATATGAACAACTGAATTCCCTTTATTTTCAAAGGCAGCTTAAACTAGCATAGTACCCAAATGAAAACTGAATCTTAGTCAGGTACAGGTTTTGTGTAAGTCTCTGGCATGACCTTGACATGTCTTAGGATCACCACCATTCCATTTTTAACAGTACTTATAACTTAATGGGTGCCCCAAATTTCTCACCTCTTTCATATATACTTGAAATGAGCACGCATGGATTAGAATAGCTGTAACTATCTTTCAGTGTGTTTTACCCTGTAAACCACTAAAGTTTCCCAGAAATCTAAAAACATTTTTAAAAGCAATTTTGTGAAAACATTTACAAAGAGGTGACTTTGTTCTAAACCTTCAAATTACAGGCACAGTAGTTCAGAGACTGAGGATATCACCCTTAGTCCAGTATATCATACTGCTACTTAGAACCTGACTATCCTCACTGGCACTGAGCAGGTACCAGAATTCAGACCTAGCTAATGTGGCATGGGTGCTAATGGTTGCTTCTGACAAATGGCAAAAAAATATTCAGTGCAGTATCAGGATATGCTCTGACCAGGGAAGTGGTAAAAGCATAGCAACGTATTCTGGTTCACTAATGCTGGGAACATGCAATATTAATCAACAATAGTTTTGGAAAGTTTGCAGCACTAATAAAAATAAAATTCCATAAAAATCTATAAAAATTATCTTATTTTTCTGTGTGTATATGTGTGTGTGTGTGTGTATACATGGGCAGACTGTACAAGTTCATGTGTGTGTGCACATGTGTGTTTGTGCAGCAGGATACCACAGGTTGATGTCAGATGCTGTGCCTTAGGAGCTGTCTATCTTGTTTTTTTTTGTTGTTGTTGTTGCTGTTGTTGTTTGTGAGATAGGATCTCTTGATGCTCAATGAACCTTAGTCTTGTCAATAAGGCTAGATTGGCCTATCCATAAGCACAGGGATTTCCCCATCTCCCCTGTCCTCAGGTTCCCATGCTTGCAGAGCAAGCACCATACTGACTGAGCTGTTTCCCCAGACTCTCAAATCATCTTAATGTATGCTTTCATTTGGGTTTTTTCTTCTATTTTTGTTTGGTTTTGGTCCTTCATTTTTCTGCTTGAATTAAAATTCTCTCAAACTGCTAAAGCTTTCTCCTACCTATCTATGACATCATAGTGACTCATTAGCTTATTATCCTCATAACACCCAAGTTGGTCAATACAGATACAATACAGGACAAATTTTATAGGATGACAGATAGGATTTTAAAAAGTTTAATATAACTTGTTCAAGTTTGTTAGTGACAGAAGTAAAGTCCATGCTCAACTCTCTAGAGTCTAAGTTAGTACCTTATATTGTATTCCTTTATAAGTAGAATCATAAAGGTTTAAGAGCAGGCTATTCAGACAGACTAACCTCCAACCAAAACTAGTTTCTGTTGTTGCCTTGACTTTGAGTTTCAGAAATCCATTTCCTTGTTTGTAAAACTGAGTTATATGACAAAACCCATATGAAGACTGCACAGAATGGGCCCTGGATAAACACCCTGCTGCTTCTCCTCCCTCTCTATCAGGTGCCAGTAAGTCAACTGTCAAGTGCAAACTTAAATATCTATTACAGAAGTAACTCAAAAGTATGGCAATATTGATGAAACATAAATAACCTCATTGTTAACAGTCAAAAAGCTCACAGTAGCACATGTGGAGGGAGAGGCTGACGCTGGGTGTCTTCCTTGATCAGTCTCCACCTGCTCACTGAGGAAGGATCTTGCTCTTGAACCTACATTCTCTGTTTTGGACCATCTAGCTGGCTTGAGAATCCCCTTTCTCTGACCCCCACACACTGAGATTACAAGCGGTCCACATTTACTTGGTTGCCAGGGATCCAAACTCAGGTGCTCATGCTCCCCAGGGAAGCACTTATCCACTAAATCACTTCATTAGCACCCATGTCAAACCTTTATAAAGTAGGAGGAATCACATCAAAACTTCATGCCTTGGACTTACTCTCAGCTGATCACTGTCTCCAAGGTAAACAGTAAAAAACAAAGAGCCCAGAAACGTGCTACCATAGGGCAGTCTGGGGAACTCTGAATGTGAGTGTACTAAAGCAGCTATGAGGCCACAAGAGTCAATACTACATCTGCCAAGGATCCAAGAGATCTGAACTTCTGGCTCCTGTAAGAATCCATTCTTCTGTTCACTTTTACCCTTGCACAAGGATGGACTCAAGGTGTTTGTGACTGACATAAGCAGGTGATTGGTAATGCAAAAGCAAGAGGCTGCACTAAACATAGACATGTGCAGGGAACGAAGTATATGTATGAGGAGGATAGGTGTCATGGTTGGGAAGCAAATGCAGATCAGTCACCAGAAAAATAACTGGTTACCCAATTTAATTAACTAAAAACATTACAATGTACAGCATGACTTAGAACACTGCTTCAAATCTCAACTTAATGCTGGAGAACAGTATGCCAACAACTACTTATACATGTAACTCTGACGCCCGGAGTGATTCTGGAGGGTTAAGGCTGTGTTACTGTATATGTGGAAGGTTATTAAATGCTTTATAATGATTATGCTAAAGGTCATATTTCTCATATACATAACCTCACTTACTATTATGAGTTAGACATGTACATGAGCAGACAATGGTCTCCTTCCATTAAATGCAAACTGGCTGAAATTACTGCTGAAGTTGCCAGGCTGTAAGAGAAAAGAGATCAAATTAACGAGGGTGAGGGTATATAATCAGTTTATAAAACAAACTGTACCGGGATCAAGGGTGATATCACCAACTCTCATATATCCAAGTATACTTCCCAGTATGACTCCTCTCCTTTTCTCAGACCATCACAAAGTCTAAGTCAAGCCTTTTCTTACTTTTCTTCCATTCAGATGTTCTTGAATAATCAACTGATTTTGGTAAGCTCCAACTTGATCATGCTACCTGCATGATCAAGAAACCTCTGAATGGTAACTCCCCACTGCCAGAGGGACAGAGATCCAGCTCCTTGGCAGGGATCTCCTAAGTTTGGCCAGTACTTCAAATCTAGTCTTCTATCTTGCTGAATATCAAAACTAGTAGGGAGTTTTAAAACCTAAATAGGTTGATAGCTCAGGCCCCAGAAATTCTATTTATCAGTTCTCAAGTAAGATTCTGAGACTTGGAGCTTTAAGAAATCTGGATGACACTCATGAACTGCCAAGACTGAAGCACTTAAGCTATTTTCCCAATTATTCTCCCCAACATAAGCTAACTCTTCTGTCCCAGACAGTGGTGGCAGCTTGCTTATCTCTATTCAGGCTGACCATCCTCTTAGACTATCATTTCTCCCCTAACTCTCCTTACACCTCCCCTATTCCTCTGAACCCCAGGGGCCCCCACCTCTGTCTTTAGAGACATGGGAAGCACAGTGGGATTGCCATTCTGAGCATCCTAACTCCTCTCGTTTCCTCTGTAAAGTCTTTCGTGGCAATGACACTGTTTCACTGAGGGTGCTTCTTTAACACCTTGAGCCTTGGATTTCAGGCCCCAAGGGAAAGTAAAGTTTCTCTAGCATCTTTTGTTCACACTCTCTAGCCTCTAGCTTTGACAACAGTATTAAGCATAAATCAGGTACTCATGTGTGTAACACTTAATGATCACTGAATAAATTAAATTCTCTTAAATTTATGAAGTGATTTTTCTTACAGTCTGACAACCTTAGCTGTCAACCTCGAGATTGTTTATGCACACAGTGACATGTTTTTCACTAGAAGCATCATTATATCAATGTAGAAATGATAATCACTTGTTCACAAAGAGTGACGTGATGTCAAATATAAGGGTGATAGCTATTAATGTGTTTTCCCTATAGATAGAATGATTTCCATGTTTATGCATTTTCCATGCATATGCATTATGCTGTGTAGGTGAGCAGAAAGGGATAGTGAAACAGCTCTTCATCTCTCTACACCTGCTTAAAACGTCCCTCTCATGTAAAGGGACAGCTGAGCCCATCCTAATCACTGTGGGGAGGACCACAGAGCCAGAGGACTTCTAGCTCAGTTCAGAGCAGGAATTCTCAACCTTCTTAATGCTGTGATCCTTTATATAGGTTGTGGTGACTCCCAATCATAAAGTTATTTCACTGTTACTCCATAACTATAATTTTGCTACTGTTATGAATCATAATGTAAATATCTACTATGTATCATGTATGATATGCAACCTCTGTGAAAGGGTTGTTCAACACCCCTCAAAGGAGTATTGACCCACAGGTTGAGAACACTGGTTTAGAGTGTCATGAGCCTATAGGTCAGTGTCTATGACACAGTTTCCGAGTTGCACTAAAGGGAGAGTAGCTAGAATGACTACCAGAGCTCCAGCTCAACCCATGAAGTTCCTGACCTCTGAGCCTTTGAGACATAGAGGTACAGCTTCTCCACAGAACGGCACAGCACAGCACATGGCAGCTGCCTGGAGTTAGAGTGGTACTGCTGACAGGTCCTGTGTGTGTGTCTGTGTGTGTGTATGTGTGTGTATGTGTGCATGTGTGTGTGTGTATATGTATGTGTGAGTATGTGTGAGTGTGTATGTGCACATGCATGTGTGTGTGAGTGTGTGTATGTGTGTGTGTACATGTCTGAGTGTGTGTATGTGTGTGCATGTATGTGTGTGTATGTGTGTGTGTGCATGTGTGTGTGCATGTGTGTATGTGTGAGTGTGAGTGTGTATGTGCACATGCATGTGTGTGTGAGTGTATGTGCATATGTGTGTGCATGTATGTGTGTATGTGTGTGTGTGCATGTGTGTGTGCATGTGTTTGTGTGAGTGTGAGTGTGAGTGTGTGTGTGTGTGTGTGAAATGCCCTCTGCATTCCAAATAACAGATTAGACATAAGCTTCTGGGTTCAAAAATAAAGAGTATTTCTAAGGTTGGGGCTGACTATACCTACACAGTATTTTCCTAGGCTAAGGTAGCAGCCAGGAGAGCATAATAAAAATAACTAGCTGTCATGAACATGTGTCAGCATCCATGAGGATGAACACCAGAGGGCAAAATGGAAAAAGCCAAGGACATTCTTAGATGGCTAAGCAAGTATTACTAGATACTATTAAAGGCTATGTTAAGTGTTGTGGGAGACAAATATTAGACAAGATCTTTGAGTTGTAACCTACAACAGTGAATACAAATAACAAAAACCACATGGTAAAACACAGGGATGGAAACAAACACTAGATAGAGGGAGCAGAGAGAGCAAGAACAAAGACCCAGTGCTTCCAATAGAAGCTGAAAGTTCATGGTTGTAAATGATATGGTAGTTTGAATAAGAATGCCCACCTCCCCAAGGCTCATGTATTTGAATACTCAGTCCCCAGTTGGTGGCACTGTTTAGGGGAGTCTTGCTGGAGGAAGTATGTCATTGTTGGGGTTGGGGGAAGCTCTGAGGTTTCAAAGCTTTACACCATTTTCAGTATGCTCATGTGCTCTCGCTCTCTTTCCTACTCCCTCTCTCTGATTCACGCTTGTGGTTCAAGGTGTGAACTCTCAGCTTCCTGCTCCAGCCTCTATGCTTGCCTACTGCGTCCACCTTGCTGTCATGGACTCTACCCCTCTGGAACCATAAGCCAAAGTAAACTCTTTCTTGCATAAGTTGTCTTCATTATGATGTTTTACCACAACAAATATTGATACACAAGACTTAAGACAGAGGAAGCAGCAAGCTTGGTTTAGCAGAAATCACCACAGAAATCACAAGAGCACAGGTATCATGTAATTTAAAAAAAAAAATAGCATGATGGACTTAAGAAGTTATTGATGCACCATTTCCCAAGAAGGATTTCATATACAAGAGAACAAGGTACTTTGAGAAATTTGAAAGTCACAAAGTGGCAAAGGTGTCATTCACCTTTATTCTTTGCTTTTAAGTCAGTCTTGAGCTGGGACTAAGACTTACGTGAAGTAACTTGATTTAGCAAATGTCTTCTAACTTCTAAAACTTCTATACTAGATGACACATGACATCCATCTTTATCTGAAAGCAAATGTAATAGAAGTGTTAAAACGGAGAGAATTGATAGGTAGCTTATAGAAACTAATTAGATGATTGCACCTGAAAAGCAATAAAAATTATATGTAGTAGTATAAACCTGCCATCTTTTACACTAGGCATCCAAAGAACCTAAAGTAAAACCCTAAGCCAATGCTCACAGGCTTTTAAAGGGGAGATCTATAACACTCCCATTCATTTGTTTCACTTCAGAATAATATAACTTTGAGGAAAATGTTACTTAACATTTAAGCCTGGTTTTTAAAAAGTCCTTAAAATGTACATGAGATCTGAACTCTAGTTACTATCCTGGTGAACATGGGAATACCACACTGACTATTAGTTCCTGTTTTCAAGAAACTCATAAACCTCCAGATGACACACGCAAGAAAAAAAAAATCTCATTGAGGTAGGTCCAGTAAGTGCTACAAATAATACAAGACTCTCTGGGACTTTAGAGTTAATTACTACGAATAAGCATAGGAAGGTTCTTCATCCTGGGAAGATGATAGAGATGAACACTGGGAGGCTGATCAGATGTTAAGCAGAAGAATTTTGGTTTGATATTGTATTAAAGATTTAAATAGTAGATTGTTTTTTAAGGAATTAGGTACTAGATTCAGCACATGAGGGTTCCATTTATACCTACAGTAAGCCAAAAATGTTTTCAGCAGGAATCATTCAAACTTATATTTTAAAAGCATGGCTATTGGGCTGGAGAAAATTGCTCAGAAGGTAAGAAAATGTACTGCATATGCATGTTTGGACCCCAGTACTAATGTAAGAGGCTGGACAAGTGCATATCTGTGTGCCTATAACCTGGGCTTGTTGGCTACTCCAGATTCAATAAGAGACCCTGTCTCAAAGGAACAAGGTGGAGAGTGATAGCACAGAACATTTGACGTCTTCTTCTGGCCTCCACACATAGGCACACAGGCACTCACATGCAACACCCTACATTTACATGCACACATAAACACGCACTCTCTAAATAAATTTTATTATTTATATAATGGAATACACCTGAGATGCTGTGAGGACTCCATAGGCAAAGAATCTCTTCTGATACTGCAGTAGTCAAGGTGAGAAGAAATTGGCACAATTGCAATAGAAGTAAACTGTTAAAAACAACTCGCTTAAAATGTCCTTCAGAGTGGGAACTAGATTAGTGACCCCATCAATCACTCCAAACAAACAACTGGAACCACCACCAACCTTGTCACACAGTGACAAACACAGGTAATCTGGGCTGTAATAGACTTTCTTTCCAATCTGAGGCATTAACTATAACCTTAAGGAAGCTGCTCTAGAACACCAGAGCCCAGTCTGTGACCAACAAATACCCACAATCATCCCCTTGAAAGGTCAACTTCAGAATGGTCTCTGTGACTGCTCACTGCTCTGAGTTAGTGTTTGTTCATCTTATAAACAGTTTATTTATCTGAGGATGGGATTTCACAAGGAAAGAAAGGCAAAAGAATGGGGTACCCTGCTCTGTCTCCTCCTCATGGAAGAAAGCAGTCACAGATGAACTCAATGGTCACTTGTAATCTTAGAAAAAAATTTCAGAAAGGCAGTGAAAGAAAATAAGAGCATCCATGAACTGAGATATTTAGAAGAAAGAAGTAGAATTACTAAACCATATCATGTGTAGTTATAATTACCACTTAAAATATTTTCTTAGGACAGATACAAATTAAAAACCTACTAAGCTAAATTTAAAATTATTTTTGGTTATATAATAGCAAATAGCTGGTCCTGAAAACATACCGAGCAACTTATATTTAGAAATATATATATATATATATATATATGTATATGTATATGTATATGTATATATGCATGTATGTATATGCATGTGTATGTGTGTGTGCAGGTAACAACAATTAATTGAAAAGAGGCTATGAGAACACACATGTATCCATTCACTGATGAGTGGATATTAGCCCAAAAGCTCAGAATACATCCAAGATACAATTCACAGACCATATGAAGCTCAAGAAGAAGGAAGAACAAAATGTGGGTGCTTCAGTGCTTCTTAAAAGGAAGAACAAAATACTCATGGGAGGTAGAGGGTGAGAGGGACTTGGGAGGAAGAAAGGAGAGGGAGAAGAAAAGGGGGGGAAGGATCAGGTATGGGAGGAGACAGGGATGATATACAGAGGGTCAGGAATTTGAAAAGAGGTATGTAGCAATGGAGGATGGGGAACTGGGAGTAGACAACAGAAAGTCCCAGATGCCAGGAAAGCAAGAAGCTCCTAGGACCCAACAGGGATGAGATTAGCTGAAATGCCCAACAAAGGTGAGGAAGAACCTGTAGAAACCATATCCAGAGGTTAGGCAAGGCCTCTGGTGGGGGGGGATGGGGCCACCCACTCATCTCCAGATTTTTCACCCAGAATGGTTCCTGTCTAAAGGAAATACGGGGACAAAGTATGAAGCAGAGACTGAAGGAAAAGCCATCCAGAGACTGCCCCACCTGGGGATCCATCCCATATACAGACACCAAACCCAGATACTATTGTGGATGCCAAGAAGTTGTCTGCTGACAGAAGCCTGTTATAGCTGTCTCTTAAGAGGTTCTGCCAGAGCCTGACAAACACAGAGTCGGATGCTCGAAGCCAACTTTTGGACTGAGCATGGGGACTCCAATGGAGGAGTTAGGGAAAGGACTGAAGGAGCTGAAGGGGTTTGCAACCCCATAGGAAGAACAACAATAGCAACCAACCAGATCCCCTAGAACTCCCAGGGAATAAACCACCAACCAAAGAGTACACATGGAGGGACCCATGGCTCCAGCCCCATATGTAGCAGAGGATGGTATGGTCTGGCATCAATAGGAGGAGAGGCCCTTGGTATAGGGCCTCATTCCCAGTATAGGGGAATGGCAGGGTGGGGAGGTGGGAGTGGGTTGGTGTGTGGGGAACACCCTCACAGAAGCAGGAGGAGGGGGATGGGATAGAGGGTTTCTGTGGTGGAAAAAAGGAAAGGGGATAACATTTGAAATATAAATAAAAAAAAATCCAATAAAAAAAGGCTATGACTTTGAAACGAGCAAGGAGGGATCAATAAGAGGGTTTAGAGAAAGGAAAGGAAAGAAAAAAAGATGTAATTATACTCTCAAAGAAAAAATAACTTAAAATGAAAAAGGGTATAATTCTCTTAAGAGTTAATACCAGTTCTATCAGCTGCTCAGGGCTCAGCAAATGCTTCTCTCAGCCTAAAACAGAGAAGCTTCCCTTCACAATGAATGGCACTGAATGTGGACATGCAAAAGTATGCTGACAAAGTGACAGTTGATATTTAGCTCCAAACAGAACACCAAGACTCAGGGAATAGCTAGGAAGAAGGGAAAGAAAGAATGTAAGAATTGAATGATGGGGAGGAGGGCTGTGGGATGCTATCTGGTAGGCACAGCACAGTCAATATAATCATAATGTCACAGCAGCTTCAGCCAACTGCACAAGGCAGGGCCTTAATAGTCAGTTGGAGCCCTATTCTCCCTGATGAATTACTGATTACTGATGGATTCAGGAAGAAGAATAGCAGTTGTGTCTTCAGTTGTCTACTCACTAGTGGGCCTACCATGTTCCAATGGACAGCTCAGCTCATATCCATTATGATGGCTAGTCTTGGTTATCAACTTGACTACATCTGGAATTTATCAAAGCCCAAATAGTTGGGCACACCTATGAAGGAATTGTTCTTAATTAAATCATTTGAAATAGGAAGACCCACTTCTAATTTGGAGCTTTGAGGTTAGAAAATACACTTATAATCCAGATCTCTTGAGGTAGGAAGATCCATCTACCTTTAATCTGGGCCATACTTTCTGCTAGCAGTCTATATAACGAACATGGTAGAAGGAAGCTTGCTCTCTTTGCCTGCTTGCTAGCAAGTCCATTCTTTCACTGGTATTACAGCCTACTTCTTTGGAATTATGGCATATACTGAAGCCTACCTCAGACATGCAGATTCCTGGACTAAACAACTACTGGATTTTGGGACCTTCCATTGGTAGATAGCTATTGTTGGACGAACTGGACCACAGCCTGTAAGCCATTCAAATAAATCCTGTGTGTGTGTGTGTGTGTGTGTGTGTGTGTGTGTGTGTGTGTGTTTTGTGTACATTCAGTAAGTTCTGCTCAATTAAAGAACCCTGACTAATATTAACCTATAACACAACTGATCCCAGTTAAACTCAGTGAGTCATAAAAAAAAAATATGAATGGCAGAAAGGTACTCAAAGAGAGAGGTGAAGGACTTAAGGGGATTTAGACAGGCTGAAGGATAACTGTAATCATAATATACTATATGCATTATGATTTCTGTCAAAGAACAAATTTATAGTAAGTTATATAAGAACAAACAAGCAAAAATTCCCAAATGATCTGACAGTGGCCAGCATTAACATATTCCCTTGGGAATGGCTGTAGATTTGTCTCTCCTGGGTCTACCCTGAAGGAGTACCTGGTGGATTCCAACCACAGTAATAGGTGGGCAGACATAAACACGGTAAGACACAACTCCCATACCCCCTGATGAACATCCAAGTAGGGAAGAGTACCAAATATTGACAGCAGCCACCAAGTTGCATGTATAAGGATACCAGGGTACCATAGCATGAGATAAGAACTTTATCTATTAGATTTCCTTTACTGCATATGACAAAATGATTTCTAAAACAGTCCTTTATATAAGATTTGGCATTTTTATAAATAAAGTGAATTTACAGATGACCAAGAACAGGCTAATATTCATGAAAGTTTTAAGTAATCTTTTAAGTAAGTGAATTTTGTTTTGTTTTGTTTTTAAGGTTAGAACAAATCCACAACCCACCAACTAACTAACCAACCAAACCAAAAAAAAAAAAAAGAAAAAAGAAAAAAGAAAAGAAAAACCGAAAACCAAAAACCCTATCTTCTGCTACCTCAATCTACCCCTCTGTTCCCCTGGAGATAACTTTTATTTATATGAATACATTG